TGAGGTATATAATTCAAAGGCTCGTAAAGGAGTCCTTCATCCGCCACGCGATTATCCCCACCCCTGGGTGAATTTTTTTTTTCTTTCCTTCCTGAGCATAAACTCCAGGGGTAGACAAACAGCCTGCCACGCGCCACCGTAATCTCTCCATCTTCCTCACTCATTCCCATCTTGCAGCCATCCCCGAGACATCTGTTTGGGATGAATTTCCTTCCTTCTTCCACCGATGGCTACATCCACCAGCCTACCAGCCTCGACCAGCCGCTTGGTAACAGCACCTCCGACAGACCATCCATCCCAAATTGCTCCGGGGGCTTAATTACTTTTCACACGAGTTTAATGAAGTTTCGACGATCTTTTCGTCGAGAACAGAGTTACTTTTCAAGAACATCCAGACATTAGCCCGAAAAATCTCCAAGGCAAACTTTCCTAGGGGATAATGTCAGGGGACTTTTTTGTAGCCCGGAAAATTATCCACAGATTATCTCTGATGAGATTTTCCTCTAAACCCCTTTCCTCCGGAGATATCCCCGAATTTCTGCGGAAAACATTTTTTTAGGATAATTATTTTTTTTAATGTATTGCGGAATTGTGACGGATATCTCCGGTGGAGAAGGTTTGAGAGAAAATTGGAAGAGAACTTTTTTGTAGACTAGCAAATTTCCCACAAATTATGTTCTACGCGATTTTTCTGTAAGTCGCTTTTCGCCGGAGATACTCCAGGAAGTTTGTGGAAAACATTTTTTAGTGAACACCAGTTTTTAAGAATGCACCACGATATCATCAGGAATATCTGGGAAAGGAAAGGTCCTGGAGAATAATATCAGAGGACTTTTTTGTAGCCTAGGGCCTTCTCCAGAGAAAATTCCCATAGAATTTTTCTCCAAGTCCCTTTCTTCTCGACATATCCGGTAAATTCTGAAGGTAAAATTTATTCGATCATTCCCATTCCCTCAAAAGAACAAATTGTTATTATCAAATAAGAGTTGTATAATGAAACAATTTGAATAATGAGTGATCCTCGAGGCCCGGCAATTAGTGACCGTTGATGGAGAATTAATTATGGCGACTAATAATAATGGTGATGAATTAACCGAATAATTGCATTTTGGAAAATTTTGGATCGAGTCTGGAATCGATGGGACATCTGCCTACTGGCATGGCATGTATGGCAGGTGGTGGTGAGTCTCGCTCAGTTCTCTTTCACTTTTTCTCGCCCAACACGGGATGAAACTCACCAGTTCATACGTATCTACACATTCATTCCCCAGACGACATACGACTGGACAGAGTTCTAGAGAGAGGGGCTGAAAGCGCATAGCAACTGCCCGCCCAGACACCAATTCACTTTAATTATTACCCAAAATTACCATAATCATTTTGCATATTTGATAGACAACATGTGCGATACGCAATACGAATTGGGATGCAGTGAATTAATTTCGGATTAATTGGGGAGGGATTGGCTCACATTAGACTCGGCTCAATGCCGAGAACCTTTTCCAATTGACGTCATTGTCAGTTTTTTTGGGGTCTCTAGTTTGATTGGAATGGCGAGGAAATACTGTCAATTCGTTTCGTAATTGAATTCCAATTGAGTTAAGAATATAATTCAATCTGGGAGTGAAAACAAAGTCAAGAGGACTCAATACTTTTTGATACCGATGCATATACATCGGATATGAGGGGATCCACTGGAAAATGGTCTAGACATTTTTTCTTCATTGGGAAATTCCACAGAAAAAATTCTAATCACATTTTCCGCTAAGTCCAGCCACTCACGAGATATCTCTAAAACAATCTACGACATATTAGAATCAGTTTTCGTTTTCCTATAAAATCTGTCCCAACTCTCTCTCGAATATCCACGGAACTATTGAATTTAGGGAAAAATGGTAGAGGAAATTTTTTCAGATTACGAAATTTCCCACAAAAATGTCGAATAACATTTTTCTCTGAATCCTGTAATTTAGGAGATAGCTGAGGAATAACGTGGAGATATTTTTTGGGTTCATGGAGACGTGTGAATTGTTTAATATTAATCTATGAATCGTGGAGTTTAGAATTTTCGGCACTCGATGAAAATATCCGGGAGATGCGCCTGCGTCTAATGGCATCACCCTGGCAAAAGCCCGGGGTCATCGACCCCCGAACATTGTCGTCCGTAAATCGAACACCTATTCCCTTTGTAAACCCAAAGACTGTGAATTGCCCTCACAGCTCTTCCCTCAAACTACAAAAATACTCTGTTCCGTATATTTAGCGAGCGATTACGCCAGAGTATTTATTTACAAACTGTGGGGGTCTTCATGTCCCACTTATTCACACATCCGGCTTCCTATTCTTATCTCACGCGTATTATCAACGAATTCGTAATGTTCCGTAGGTACGAATCAGCTCGACTTCTCGACAATTAACCGTTTGTTATTACTTCGATACTCTCCAGTCCCTCGAGCCTTCTATCCGCATTTTTTATCATCAATTTCATGTACAAAGGTTTGAAAATCGTCATTTGAAAAATACATTTTCCTTAATCATCGATTTATCTCGAAAACCGTCGATTTAAGGCGGAAAATACAAAAGATCTTTTCTGTAACTGAGAGAATTCTCCGGAAAAAAGTTTTCTGGTTTTTTTCGATAATTCCATTAGTTCTGAAAATATTGGTAACATAATTTTCTAAAACTCGTAAAAGCGCGGAGTTTTAAATATCAATTAATCCCCACAAGTATTGATTTTAGAAGAAAATATGAAGAGCCCTTTTTTATCTAAAATTCAATGAACAACAAAAAAGTTCTTTAACGTTTTCCCATGAGATCGATAGTTCACGAAATCGAGGGTTGAGAAAAGTAGTAAATAAAAAAACTGCGTGGCGGTCAATTAATTCCTAATGAAAATAATTCCCACTTGATTAGTTAAACCGGAAATAGTTGATTAATAACGATGGTTACGATCTAGTACCAAAATTATCCTCCCCAGTAATTGATGACGCCTAATTACCCATAAAACCGCACAATACCCTGAACGAGATGGATAACTGAAAAATAGTAATTTCTCCTGGTTATGGTCTTACACAGGTGCTCAGCTGTCAGCTGTTTCCCGTCACCGTGGATAATCCTCACTCTCACCCGCAAAACCCCAAACCGATGCCCCTGAACATTCGCAAGTGACAGTTGTCAATTTCTAATGCCTCCAACTGCTCCACAAAACTCCAGTTCCAATAATTCCAACAATTTCATTCATCCTATTCCGAGTCACAAGTTCCTGCGGATGCTCCTAACCTCAACCAACCGCTCCGGCACGACAATTACCTCATTAATTATCCCCCACATAATGAAAACAGTGAACAACAAACCACAGAATTAATTCACCGTCTAATTACCCCACCCCAGCGATTTCCAACCGATTAAAAACCATAAAATCGTGAAAAATATGATTGTCGGGGATCGATTGACTATTGAATTGATTGATTAATTGATCAGCTGATGATCACTCACCGTTGGGTGCACTGTTGCTCGACGACTGGCCCATCTTCTTGATCAGTCGCACGTTGGCAAAACGATTGATTAATTAATTAATTAGTAACACTGGATTAGATGAAACTCTGCTCCCACGATCTCTCTCACTTGGAGTCCATTGTTTATTTATTATTTTTTGGGACTTTTTCAGGATGTAGTTGGACCGATGAGTCCGTCTCTTCGTCACTTAGTGGAAAAGAAAAATAATAAATAACAAAAAGGTGTTAAAAACAAAAGAAAAATCACATTGCGATGAAGACCGCAGTCTTGCGACAACGGGGGAATGGACGGCTGATGGATGTGGGTTACGTTTCTATGTGTGTACATAATTTAATCAACGGCGCAGGCGCCGCGCGCTCCTTTTTAAATTCAAGCAATTGAACGAAAGTTACTTTAAAAATTGTCAATCAATTATTATTATTATTCATAATTTATGCGGAATCATCAACATATTGGAAAATTATCATTTTAGATAAAAATTGGATTTACAAAATCGTCTGTTGTACTCGTATTATTTTTTTTTTTTTGACTCGATATTTTGAACGAATTTTGAGAATTTTTGACAGGTTGATAATTCGTGGATTATTTTTTTATCAATGATTTGTTCAATTATTAATTATTATCAATTATCCGAAATTCGAGAAATCAATGGAATTGCATAAATAACTGGTAAAAATTAATTTAAAAAACACAAGAAAGAATTGAAAGACTCCCGATGAAAAATAAAATGTTTATTGAACTTTTTGATAATCGAATTATCATTGTTCATCAAACTTTCATTGACTTAATTTTATTTCATTCACTTACGATCAAGTGACGACTCCATTCGTGAAAGCTCATAATTATATTAATCATATCCATTTAATCCACGAAATCCGTTTTCATTATAATATTGATAATTCCAAACTCTCGGCATTGGAATGGCCAAAAAAAATATAATAATCCTCTGGCTCCAGAAATTTCCAAAAGAATCCTTTCTCTCTCAATCAAAAAATTCATCTTTTCAATTTTTTTATCAACCGATTTTCATTTTTTTTATAACAAAAAAAAAAATTGAGAGACTCCCAGAGGAAGAATTCTGTTCCTCATGGGCACTAGGCTCCCCTCATCCGCACCATAATAGCCTTGAGCCCATCGCCACCTGTCCCTCGTGTTTCCTCCACTCAATGAATTTTATCCTCACTCACATTAAATTCCAATTGATCAGAACCACTTGTCCACTAAAAACTATAACCCGAAAAAAAAATTACAAATTTCCCACGTCCAACTCATTAAAAAAATATCCACTTCCTCGACAACTAATAATGAATTAAATTGATCATCACTCACTGAATTTGCTCTCAATATTGCGAGTCAATATTCTCATTTCCCAGATAACACTAATCGCCGCTCGCACCCAGAAATCGCGTGTCTCTCGTCATAAAAAGAAAAAAATCTATTTTATATTAAATATATGCATGCTCTTGTTCAGTCGTTGACGAACGCTCGACCCGGAGGAACTTGTGGTGTAAATCCGCATTATCGAATTAATTCCTACCGTTCAGACTGATCAATAAATAATCAACGGGCTAATTAATAATCAAATCTAGGCATCACTGGTTTCGAATAAATGAATTGTAACTTGAGCGATGGGATCGGTTACCCCGGAGACGAGAATTCACAACATTGTTGAGTGCATTCGATTGCTCTCGAGAATGATCGGCCCTTTTTGAACCCGAAATTGCAATTTGTTAAAATAAGACTGTAGAAAATGAGATTTAATCCACCATGGGCTATCGCTGTGCTGATGTCAATGTCCATTCATGCAGGTGTGTATTAGTTTCTATTATTCCATAGAAAATCGAAGAGAAAAGCAGTTGACCCACATATTGACTGTTACATACATTTATAAAATTCATGTTTATTTAAAAAAATTCTGCCTAATTATCCATGACTTATCCATAAAAAATGTAATGTAAATAAACAAAAGGTTCGTCACTATTTAATTGCTCACGAATTTTAAATAATTAAAAAATGTTAAGATGGAAAATAATGAATAATAATCATGGTTTTTTTTATCATTATTGAATTGATTATTACAGAGCAATAATAATTATTATTAATTACTCAATTCGTATTCTTCAATGATTTTTATATTTCTTCTGATATCAATAAAAATAATCGGTCAATTATTATTGATAATATTGCAATTATTGAAGTTGGTTGGGAATTGAGAATCGATAATTAATGAAAAAAATTGTCATTAAATGATAAAAGAATGAAAAGTTGAGAGCTGTCGGTAGACGATTATCTCCTTTATTTATTTCTTCCTGGAGTGATTGATCTTTCAGGTTTCAAGGTGAGTCTCATCCTCAGAGGTTTTCCGTAGAAATAATGGTGAATAGGAGTTGACCCAGATAGAGTATTACGTGTATTTAAATATCGCTATTTTTCTGCATTGTCAATCAAGGAAGGGCTATTGACTGCTTCAAGTGTGTCTCACTTGGTGGTGACAACAAAGCCTGCGACGATCCGTTTCACAACAATGGATCTCTTGAATTCTTAGAGTCTCCTTGTCTTGGAGGTAGAAAAGGTCGGGACGGCCTTTTTCCAGCGACTGCTTGCATAAAACTAGATGGAGTTTACGGTAATTATTATTTTTTCGAGGAATTCCTGCAAATCCACTGGACCCCAGCATTCCCGGATATTAATCTTTCCCAAAAAAATATTTTTTATTTTAATTCAATAACAAGTATATCTTTTTTAAGCGCCAATTATTCGCGTTAACTGCTTCTTCATTTTTTTTTATAATTATTGAACTGATTATTGCAGAAAAATAATAGTAATAATTAATTATTTGATTATTATATTCTTCAATTATTTTTTTATTTCTTTTAATACGGATAATGCAACACTAAAGAGAATTGAAAATCGTTAATTGATTATAAATATTGTAATTAACTTGATTGATTGTCGCTGTGAAAAATTTTTTAAACCGTCATCTGGGAAATCGATGATATCTCAAAAACCAGCGACTTCAGAAAAAAATACGAAAAGATGTTTTTTGTCCGAAATTTAATAAGCTACAAAAAATTCCTTCACCATTTCTGGCTGAAATCTCTATTTTTCGAGATAAATAAATAATTAACGGAAATGGTGGATCCCGCGTGTTTCATCGTTACTTCTCTGCCGATTTCTAAATTCTAAACATTTGGAAGAGTGATTCCACGTAATATCGGTACTGGATCATCCTGGGGATAATTAATTCAGTAATTAATGTATTTGTAGATGAATCCGGTGTGTCTCTGACGATTCGGAGTTGTGCGTTAGACAGTGGAACTTTGACAACCGATTCAGAGCTAGTGAGATCGTCGCACTGCGGTGGATTTTATTTCAATGGAAAGTGCGTAAAATCGATGGACAAAAGTGGGAAATTCAGGTATCAAATGATTTCAGGTACCTGCGAGGATGCGTGCAATCGTGCAGCGATTCAGACGCGTGCAACAGCAGTCCCTCCACCAGGAAAAATCTTATTGTCGATCTAATGTTGATTTTAACGACTCTAGGATCGATTTCCGGTTACACGATCGTCTTTATCAGATAATACCAGTAGTTTTTGATAGTGGATATTTAACTATCGTACTGCCACCATCGAAATCGCCCTAGCTCTGACTCCCATTAAAAATCGTTATCAAATTTATTATCAATTTATTATAATGAAATGTTGATTTTTGTTAAAATAAAATTGAAGAATCGGCGAAATACGCGGAAACAAATCGTTCTGCCATTCATCAATTTTATAATAAATTATGAAATATTTTTTACTAATTATATCCTCGAATAATCCGCAATTAATAAAAAATCGTTAAAGCAAAAGAGAAAAAGTGAAAAAAATTCCTTTTACTGCAAAAAATTCAAAGCAGTTATTCCGTTTAAACAATTAATTAACAGTAAATCACAAATAAAAAAAAAGGAAAGAATATGAAAAAAAAAATTAAACAAACAAAACACGTTATAAATGCCAGAGACTTAACCATGCGTGTAAATTTAAAAGTTCATGATAAAATTAAATTACCAATGAGTTACCAAATTATTGAGGCATAAAAATCATAAATTGACGTAATAATCTTCACCGAGACGTGGAATATCATGCAATACGTGGCAGACGTATCCGAGGAAGTATCTCAATTCGTCTCGAAATCAGGAAGCTGTGTCTGGGACACTGGCGAACTCGTTCTCGACATTCTCCTGGAGTTCGTGACCCGTTCCATCGAGCTCGGCCTCTCGGTCCTCGCCCTGGGCTTTCAGGTCCTTTGCATTTTCCGGGATCTCCTCATCGATGCCCTCAGGACATTTGCAAACGCGATAAAGGGAATTGTTAATGTTGTGGGAGCTATCGACATCGAGGACGTAGAGGATTTTGCTTCTGCCTGCATTGTGGTGATCCTGTGGATTGGAGCTGGAAAATTCATGCTAGGAGTCATCGAGAAGGTAAACCCCTCTACAATTATCGTGACAAGAGACTGGGGATAAAGAAAAAAAGTGTAATCAACTGAGAAAATTAACAGCGAAAAGAAGAACAATTCGATTCAGATGATATTCACGTTGCAGAGAGATATCTCTGAATCTAACAGAGATACCGACATTTTTATAATAACTTTTTTTGCAGCTCCAACTGCTGCCCACAAAAAAGGTCCTATAAAAAAATTCGTCATCTCTCTCGGATTCCGAGATATTGCGCAAACACTCGGCTCATAAATTCATCCGCTTGTTACCATTTACTGAACATGATGTAATGAGTTTTTAGAGTAATTGCAATGAGTTTTCACTCTCCAGAGCAAGGGAAAGTACAGTCCGATGCAGCTGTTCACCCGGATGATGGATATATACAATGAAAAATTAAAAGAACCGCCTCCGTGTCCTAGACCTTCAGAAAATACCTGGATCCCTCGCCAGCACTCGTCGAGAAAGAAGAGTTCGCACTCCAGAGGAAGACGCAACTCAAAAAAAAGATGACTCCCATCAAGATATTCACTCATAGTTATTGAATAGTCTCGATATTATCCATCTCCTTTTATTACTAACAATGTATAAAAATCCTTAGAAATAACCGACGCTATGATTTTTTGGATTCGTTTGATAAAACCTATGTACAGTCATAAATATATCAATTACCGCTGCATTACAGCATTAAGGCACTTTTCATCAACAATAAATTATTCTCCATTCGACTAACTATTTAAAATTGGACACAAAATGTGATTTTCTGGTCTACAATAAATTAGAGTAGCTTAATTCATTCGAGGAATACTTAAGTTAGTTATAATTGGCATTTTCGGTGATGCTGATTGGAATTGCAAATTATCGAGTCATCAATCGCTGATGATTGTTATTGCAAGTTTGTGCTCCGGCCATGAGAACGTCCTGGGAAGTTGAATCTGTAAAAATTGAATTATTTTCCATAACTCTATATTTTAATAATTCTCTCTTCTTTTTGTATGGAGGTATTATATTATTATTTGAAAGTTTATTAAATCCCGTTGACAAAAAATATGTGAGTTACCCGATTTCTCTATTTTTCATGAAGCCATGACGTTTTGAGAATGAAATTATGAAAATAATGAATTCAGTGAGAAAAATTTACCTGCTGTGGTGCATTAAAAATTTGAAATTCCCCAGCCATAATCTCAGCCAATTCATCCGGCACGAGTACCTGAAGCCAGGGGCCTTGAACGACATAAGGTCTCTCTCGTGACACGAGTGTCCCAGTGACCGACGAGGCAACAATGGTGATTGCAGAGTGCGATAGGATCGATTTAAATGTAAAATGTCGACCATGCATTACACGTCCCCTGAAATCAATGAGAAAATTGTTGGAATAAAATTCTTGTGAATAATTAATCCGATGAAAATTAAGAGCACTCACTTGATTGCGAGTGGCAGAAGACTTCCAGCCTCGAGGTTGAACGTCAGGTGGAGTCCGTCCAGGGGTTTAAGGGTGAAACCATCATCCATCGAGGGATTTTCTCTATCAGCTTCATTCGGCGAGTGCATCTCCACTTTGACTACCTCTCGGGGATTTACATTGCTCTCCTCATCGTTCTCGTCTTTGTCGCAGTCGTCATCCTCGTCGTCTGAATTCTCTGGTTTTCGCTCTCTGTAACTCTCTCCACTGTTGTTATTCGTCGTCTGCACCCACCTGAAACGAGAAAATTATAATTGAAATGAAAAAGTGAGAGAAAAATGGAGATTAGATGATAAATTGAATTGATGTCTTCTTGGGGAGTTGATTGATGGAGAATTTTTTCTTTGAAGATCTTTTATTTTTAGAAAGTGTTGAAATCCCATTACTCACCAGCATTTGGCGGATACTCCACTGAGATTGGAGCCCTCCCTCTCGATACCCGTTTGAATTTTCTCAGCAACTGTTGGATCCTCCTCCATGATTGAATGTATCCTGTTGGTGTCGGTGACGAGCCATGGACCGCAGCCCCTCGTCGTTTTCAATAAATTCACCAGGCCAAGACCATTCCAGTGCTGCGCTGCCTGAAGCTCCTCTGATGTTACTCCAATTATTTGGATAAATGATACCTAATCGCATAAAACCGTAATTTATCAATAATTAAATTAAATTAAATGGCTGAGTGAAATCCAAAAAATCCTCATTATCTCATTTTAAAGATATCTTTTCACGCTTTAAAATAAACCCTAACTTTTCAAAATCGCTTCATTGAGTCCCGAAATATTTGCGCTCAAAAATTTATTTAATATTGAACTGATGAAATCCTATTTTTTTGGTAAATGTCGAATAATCCAAAAGCCCTTGATTTTACAAAGAAACATTAAGAGAGCATTTTTCTTGGAAATTTAATCAGCCAGAAAAAATTCTTATTCCATTTTTACGTAGAGTTGATGGTTTTCGAGATAAATCGGTAATTATATAAAGATCGAGTTAGATTTATCTGAATTCCAGTCAAATTCACCTCTCCATGTGGAGTATTAATATTATTCGGCAATTGTGGGTCCTTTCCCATCAAAATTTGGGTTATCCTCCCACTTCCGGTGCCCAGTGGTGCGTGCCAGGACACGTGATCTCCAGGGAACAACATATTCCCGGAGTTGAAGACGTATTTAGCTAGTTGTTGCATGACATTAGCTGGCCAAGTGGGCGGAGTAGTTTCCCCTCGTTCCCGAGCCAATCTGAACGTCAATTCAAATCCAAAACCACTGGGACGACCTGGACCTGTCTTCGGGTGGAGTCTTCCATCCCCGTGGAGATCAGACAGTCCCAAACTACAATAAATTAACGAAATTAATGTTTCTTCCAGCTTTTTCCATCCGCATCTAGACCTCCTCAGGACATTTTACTTCCTAGGATTTAAAATCTACAAATTTTTGGAATTCATAAAATCTTCTAGATACAATAGTAAGAGAGGTTTGGACAAGAATTAAGGAATAAATTCGAGTAAAAATTAGTCTATTTTTAATGAACATGGAAGTGTGCTCGAAATAAATCAGGGATTTCCTTCCGTTTTCCCATTTCCGTTTCCTCTCCAGTAGCCACCCTTCCCCAATCTATTCCTGACTCTTTTTACCCTGCGGTATAAATAGAACGAAACGTCTGCTGTTGAATACCTAAAGCCTCAGACGAAAAGAGATGATTTCTGTCCAACCCCTTGGCTCTTTGTGTCTGACCACTCGAAAGAAACTTTAATTATTATGAATTAAATATTCCGTGGGATCTAATATCTTGAATTTTATTAAATGAAATGAGTAATTTATTAGGTATCCACTGGAATAATTAATGCATTGAATCTTCTAATCGGGAAAAAAGAGAAAACAGGAGGCAATTAAATTGAAATTATTGATGATTGTGGGTCAGCGAATGAGTGGATGAGTTCAGTAATTAAAAGAGGGGTGGAAGACAATTGAGTAATTGAGGAAATTGGTTAATCACCTGATGTAGTGCCAATGGGGAGGAACTCCTTGCTCCGGACATCCTGGATTCTCGTACATATTTATGTAATCCAGAGGGTCGGGTCCTCCCAGCCTTGAATATCAAATTATGTCGATTAAAAAGAAAATCAATGTGATTTTTCCTCGTTATTTTTTCAACTATTTCTTTCGTTTTCCTGATTAAACAATCATTTTATATTTTCCATCGATTTCCACAATTTTACATTTGAGTGTAATAATTATTAATAAAATCAATAATCAATAAACATCAATAAAGAAAATTGAAAAAACCGAATTGAGTAGAGGAAATTCTTTAAAAAATATTTCAATAACGTAAGTTCTATAGAAAAATCGAATTCCATTTAATTCTGTTAGCAGATATTTTCTAATAAACATTTATCATAATAATTCCACTAATTAAGCGAAAGTTCTTTGGGAATTTCCCGGAATTGTCAGGTTTTCTTGAAAATTTGAAATTTTTTGGGGGAACTTACCAGTATTTTATGATAGCTGTGACAGTGAGTGGATTCAACTGGTCAGGATAAATCTCCTTGCAAACATTATGCAGAGCGTCAAGCCCTAGAGCTCGAGGGGACGGCATCTCGTTATTGTTGACCGGAGGTAAATTCCTGGAGAATTCCTCCTTCTCCCTGATATTCCCGAACATCGGATGGCCTTTTCACTCGATAAACTCACAACAATTGATGGATAATAATAAAAATTTGTCGACGAGTGGTCCAGCGTCACCACTGAACGCCTCAATCACAAGACAACTAAAATGTGGAATCCACTGCGTTCGTCTGCCAAAGTCAAGTCAAGACGTGACAGAATCGGATGGAATGCACTACCAGGGGTCGCCACCTCCCGGTGGGGATGAGTTTCGAGGTTACGAGGCACATGTTTACTCCGAAAGCTGTTCCATTCAGAATTAATTCAGGATTTATACTCCACCAGATAAACAGTGAGTTCATCTTTATGTTCTGGTTTTATGGATTTACCTCGAGAACGAGCGGCTCCAGCAAAAAATTTCAGAGGAACTTTTTCTACGTCCCAAAATTTCCTACAAATAATTCTTCTGACATTTCGCTGTGAAACCTCTCGGTATTGAGATAATTACATGAATAATTGTACAGTGAAACATGCATGATTTGTTAAATTGTGAATATCAATTTTTAATTGTAAATATCTCGTGAGTGAGGGGTTTTTGAAAGAAAAGTGAAAAAAACTTTTAATTAGCTCTCGAAATTCGGTATAAAGTCCTTACAGTTTTGTAAAATCTTCCAAATCCTTGCTGCAGAGTGATTAATCAATTTCAGGATGGCAGCGCTGGTGCCTCAGGGTAAGAGTTGGAAGGAGCACAACAGACTCCACAAGGAGAAACGGAAAAAGTGGCGGGAGGAGCGTCTTGTGAAGAAAGTTAAGGTAGATGAGCCAGAGGCAAAACCAGAGGAAATCCCCCCGAAGAAGGATAAAATCAGGATATCCACCCTGAGCATCGCAGTTCCAGGATCGATTTTGGATAACGCACAATCCCCAGAGCTTCGTACATACCTGGCAGGTCAAATAGCACGTGCGGCTTGCGTTAACAAAGTCGACGAGGTGATTGTATTCGACGATCAAGGAGAAGTTACAGAAGTTGATAAAAAAAAATTGAAGAAGGACGAACACCTGGGGGAGGCCAGGGCCTCCTGCCTCCAGCTGGCGAGGATTCTCCAGTACCTCGAGTGCCCCCAGTACCTGAGGAAGTACTTTTTCCCCATTCACAAGGACCTACAGTACGCAGGTGTTCTCAATCCCCTGGACGCACCTCATCACCTGAGGGCCAGTGATGTCTCGTTATTTAGAGAGGGAGTCGTCGCAAATAAACCCATCAAGGCTGGCAGAGGGTCTCAGGTCAACGTGGGACTTCTCAACGATGTTCACATCGACAAAATGCTGACTCCTGGACTCAGGGTCACCCTCAGGATCCCTCCGGATCAGGAGAATCCGAAGAGATTGAAAGGTACTGTTGTCTCTCCAACGACTCCACGTGCTGAAACGGGGGTATACTGGGGCTATACGGTCCGTTTAGCCTCGAGCATCACTGAAGTATTTTCAAAATGCCCTTACGAGAAGGGCTACGACCTGACAATAGGAACGTCAGACAAGGGATCACCGATCGACGAAATTCCATCGAGAAGTTTGGAATACAGTCACGCCCTGATGGTGTTTGGGGGTCTGGCAGGACTTGAGGCAGCCCTCGAGGCTGACGAAGGGCTCAACATCGACGATCCCAGTCTACTCTTCGATAAATATCTCAATACCTGTCCCGAGCAGGGCTCCAGAACGATCAGAACAGAGGAAGCCATTCTCATTTCCCTTTCAGAGGTCAGGTGTAAATTAAAACCTAATACTCCTGCCCTCTCCAATCCCCAATTTCCAGTTCACAGCAATTCTCACAGCAAAAATACTGATACGATTATTACTAGTGAAGGGAAAAAGAAGAGTACGAGAATTTATCAGTCAGACACTAGTGGAGATGAGGGCAAAGAGTGAATTTCAGGAGAAATAAAAGAATTCAAAGATCATGTAATTACGAGAATAATAAACCTTATTTTTATTCTGAAAGATCCTGTCCCCGTTATTTTGTTCTCCGTTTTTTGGCACTTGGAGGAAAATTTCAGTTATTTCCTAGGTGAGAATTGACGGTTTCTCTCAAGGTCGTTATGACTTTGGCGGGTTCTGGAGCTCCAATAACTGCAGTTCCTGAGACGATCCAGTTGGCTCCAGCCTGGAAGAAAAAAAATTCCAAGTTTTCGTTTAGAGATCAGAGGAGGATCGAACTCACTTCGGCACAGGCATTGATAGTGCTGGGGCCTACACCCCCATCGACTTCGATGTCAAGACTGGGATAATTCTTTCGAAGCCAGGAAACCTTCTCCATCATGTTCTGCATGAATTTCTGACCCCCAAAACCAGGTTCCACGGTCATCACCAGAACCAGGTCAGCCTTGTCGACGTAATTCGCGACAACGTCCACTGGAGTTCCTGGTTTCAAGGCCACACCAACCTGAGCAAAAAATAATTAAAAAAAGGGAAATATCTCAAAATCTAAGAGAGATATCCAAATTTTTGTGGGAACTTTTTTGTAGGTTTTATTGCCATCTACACAATAGGTGATGAGAAAATTTTTGCTATCTTTCTTAGATTCCGAGATATTCCTAAAAAACAAAATCCCTCTACGAAAAAAATGATAAAATCATGAGGCATGACAACAATAAGTCAAGAGTATGAAATAATTTATTGTTTCCGAGAGATTTAAGATCGGATTACCTTCATACCAGCTTCCCTGATCTTCCTGCAGACCAGGGGGACATCCTCAACAGGTTCAACGTGGAATGTGTACTGATCTACCCCGGCATCAGCCATAGGTTCAATCCACTGAAATAAAAATATGTTAAAATGTTGTCTTAACTCCTACAATACGCCGTTCTCACCTGATCTGGTTTGGACACCATCATATGTGTCTCAAAGAAGGCGTCCTTGATTTTTCCCCTCAAACACTTCACCAGGGGATGCCCAAACGTCAAATTGGGAACAAAGTGTCCATCCATAACATCCAAATGAAGATAATCAGCTCCACTGTCCAGTAATTTTTGAGATTCATCGTAAAGTCTCGATAAATCAGCATTGAGTATCGACGGACCGATTTTCGCACTGAGACGGGCCTTCGACATGATTATTCACTTTATGCAACTCCAAAGACCACAAATTAAATATTAAAAGAATAAATAGGATGAAAGTTCCACAATTAAAACGTCTCTTGTGTTTTAAAAACCCACGTGATGGAAGAAATTCTGCTCCAACCTCCTCGACACGTTGGAATGATGTAAAAAAATAATATCAGAAATTAAAAACCTCTTCTGATTTGAAAATCATCCGACTCTCGACCTTGTCCACAAGAAAATCGATAACAGACTTTTCTATTTTTCCCACTGGGGCTAAAAGAACTCCAATTCCCATTTTTAATAATAATTACTTCACCAGTCTCAGGCGAGTCAATTGAATTTTTTCCCCTGACATTTCCCCCTTTTTTTTAAACCCTCCCCTCCATTTTTCGAGGAGCTCTCGGCGATTTTGAAAGGGTTGCTAATAAGGGCGGGAAAAAAGGGGATGAGTTTTCGGGACGACCTGTAGAGGCCCGGCCTCGGCTGTGCGGTTTTAAAATGGTCACACGAGTGATAAATTAAACCGTTAAATACTTTTTTACCCGAATTTTCGAGTGATAATTCCTCCAAAAATCATTTTCACGAGTTTCTAAAACACCAGATAGTCCAAAAATTCCCTTAATTACCGTTAAATCGTTGTAATCAATCCCATAAACGTGACAAATCGCCAGTGATTGAGTGAACATAACCTTAACACCGAGATCAACGGTTGCATCAATGCTGAATTGGAATTCAAAAAGTTCTTTAATTTTCTCGAAGTCATGAACGACCTGGAAGACACACACTGCGAGGTAATTTCCTTTGGCACAATTCCTCTTCCCCTTTTCCACTCCATTTTTCTGTTTTTCTACTGAATAATTTTCAACAAATGTTCCAAAAAAAAATTCACGTTTCAATTCAATCGCCACAAATGAAGAAAATAAATTCAAAAAACCTGTTGTCTATTCAAAAAGAATTGTTGAATATTATTATTTCCAGATTCGCAGAACAGTCGATCTCCAGTTGTCCCCCCTATCCCCAAATTCGTCCTTCGAGGATGACGCCTCCCCTCCTCTCTCACCCCCAAGCCCCTGCACCCTGGGGGGTTTTTTTCCATCGACGAATTACTCCTGGTTGGCATGTCGCTCTCGTCTGACAGTCTTCAACACAAAAACCGGTGCCAGCATCTCCTCTTGGAAATTTCGCCATCGAATCTCCTCGATATCCCCATTTCCCTCGTCCCCAGGTCAAATTCCCCTGCTACTAGTGGGCCTGGATAATGATGCACCGAGACTACGAGACTCTCGGGGTGCGATCTGCGTCTTTGACTGCACGATTTCTCAGGTGTTACGTGCCATAAGAACGCCCTCAGGGGTTGAGCAGCTCTGCGTCATCTCCGGAGGTGCTCCCTGGGAGGATCCTGACGACAGACGAGGGGATATTCTCCCTGGATCATCAGGACTAGGCTGCGCAGCGCTCAGGAGTCTCGATCACTTGGTAGTGGATCTTCGTCGTACATCCTGGGAGGAATTCCAAGATTATTCTCAGTACGACGAGTCAAATCCTGCTGAGCTTGATCTCCCAGAGCCCTCGGGAGCCCTGAGACACAGAAATCGTGAACGTCATGCCTGTCACAATCTCATGTCCACGAGGATTGAGAAGTACATTGATTTCAAACGAGAGGATCTGGAGAGCTCTGTCCTCCAGGATATCCTGACGACGTCGTTAATTCACTCAAGGAAAATTGGTTGTGTAATTTCTGGGTGCCTGGGGCACGTAATCCTCTGGCAGACTGATGGAATCGTCAGGTGGATCAGTCCTCCATCGGAGGAGAGCATCTCCATCAGTCATCTCGCCCTCCTGGAGCCCACAGATGATCCCAGGCCGTTCTGCTACCTCTGGGTGGCATATCAGGAAGAGTCGGACGTTCCTCCAGTCCTCAAGATGTTCGCAATGCTCTTTGAGAGGAAATACTTCCACAAGGGGACAAATCAGTACTTCACTCTCAAGGGAGAGCCCTCGATGAAGCTGGAGCTGGAGCTAGAGGGAAATAAAATTGTAGGTCTTTGCCCTGTTACCAGGGACAGCTGCCAGGAGACGGAGACCGGGACGAAGAGCTCTGAGGAGAGTCTCCTGCTCGTCAGCACCGAGGGCAGGTCATTTTTGTTTGATCTGAATCAGTGGTATAAGGAGCAGATGCCGAGGACTATTGGGGACTGCGCCAATGTCGAGGCGATTTTATCGGCGTACTCCAGGTCTCAGGGAGGGCCTGAGGGCATCCTGAGCTGTGTTCACGTGCCATTGACCCTCAAGGAGTTCCCAGGGGCTGGGCAGGGCGCACCGGAGGAGTTTTTTTTCCCCAATTCTCTTTCTCTGGAGTGGAGTGAGCTGAGTACAAACAGAATCACCACCTGGATGACACGAGGAGTTCAGTCTCAACTCCTCAGGGATATGTCTCTCTCAGGACCTGTAATTATGCTTCACCCTGCGGAGACCTTTCATCGTTGTGCATCATTCGGATTAATTCCACTAAATGGCGACTCCTTCAACAGTGATCCTGACTTCCAGAGGGACGCCCTTCTGACTCTTGTCCTCCAGCAACGCTGGACAACTTTTCTCCTCCGGTGTGTCAGGGAGTGGAGTGATGGCAGCGCTGCATACCTCTTCCCTGCGTTTATTCGATGGGCTGTCCAGAGAGCATCGACCATCAAACTCACAGCCCACAGGCTCTGCATTCCTCTTTTCGATCAGTCTGGGTGCAGCATTGGGGAGGCTGAGGTCAGGAGTCTCAGATCCCTCTGTCAGCAGATGGAGTGTCTCTCCAACGTCGTGGATAACCTTCCTCTGGCACAGGATCAGGATCAACAGAGAACACTCAAAAGAATAACCGTTTACCTGCAGGTTCTCCTGTGGTTCCTCGACGTGGGGCTTCTACCAGAGTGCCAGGACGTCGATGAGGAGTCATTACCCATATCCATCGTTCCGAAGATTCCCTATCCAGCTGAGAAACTCATCTCCATGTACAGGGAGAAACGAGAGAAGCAGGGAGGAGTGGAGATGAAGAAATCAGAGAAGGAGGAGAATTTATTCATCGACGAGCTCATCACCAGGGACTGCAGTTTTCTCGTGGCTCAGTGGGAACGAGAGGCAACTGACACCATCTCCGATGGTCGTTATCCCCCTCCATCATTGCAGTCATTACTCAGAGGGATTTTGACAGATTGCTATCACCCTGAGACCAATGAAATGGAGAATAAACACCAGATTATTATTTATCTCCTCATGGATCTCGTGATGCTCCTCCAGGGCTCGTGCCCCAGTGTCGACCAGCTGGTGAAGTATCCAGCTGCTTTCAAGCTCAGCCCTAGTCTAATCAAACTCACTCAGGCCCTGTGGCTCCTTGATCACGAGGATTATCAAGGATTTCTGGAGATCATGACTGGACAACTGGTGTGTGACTCTGACGTCAAGGATTGGCATCACAAACTCGTTATCAGGACGCTGATCAAGAGTGGACAGAATAAATTGGCGTTGATTTATTTGAGAGTGAGGAAACCACCTCTGTCCTCTCTGGAAGAGCAGGGAACTGTCATCAGCCTCTCAGTGGAGCATGGACTGGTACAATCGGCATTTCATCGAAGGCCTCCATCCCACTACAGTCAACTCCTGATGAAATTCTTCAAGGCCTGCAAGGACAACGATCGTCTCAACGATATCCTCCACCTCGCCATGGACTTTGCGGAGGAGGAAACATTTGTCCAGTTTCTGGAAGAGGAGAAGTGCGATGAGACGAGGCTTTTGTATTACCTACAGAGGTCCAGGTATAACGAGGCTGGTGGCATCTCGTTGGGGAAGAATTCCTCAAAGAAGTCTTCATTCGCTGTTTTCAGTGCTTATCAGGCAACTCTTCCTGAGGTCACCAGGAGGTTTAACAGTCAGTTGGGGAAGAGAAATATTCAGGAGCCTGAGGGTAACTTTCCCAGACCATTTTCTCATATCAAAAGTCAGTCGAGAGTTAGGGAGATGCATGAGGCTGTCATCAGGAAGGCCAGGGAGACCTTCTCCAGGGGGGATAGACTCCAGATTCCCTTCGTCACTGCTCCCTCCATGTCTCTGAAGGCTGGGGTAAATAGTAATGAGGGGAATTGCGTTATGTTCGCTGAAAGAAGCAGGTTATATGGAAAGAGGACCCTAGATCAGATGAGGGAGGAAGAACCAGAGGCTAGTGTAGGCCCCAGGAAGCGCAGGAGAACAGACGAAAGCAGGAAAGAGGACAGCAGGCAGCTGAGTCTCAGTATGGTGTTCGATACTCCTCTGGTGAAAAGGAAGAACCAGATGAGTGCCAGGAGCACCGCTGCAGAGACTCCCCATTCAATTCTGAAGATCAGGAGAATGATCCAGAAGTCATTATCTCCGAAGGATGTGCAGGCCTCCCCCAGTGAGGAGGAGAGGGAGAAGAGGCCCCGACAGATCAGATTCAGCATTATTCCCAAAATGGATGAGTCCTCGATCGATGGAGATCCTCCTCCTGGGGATGACGTGCAGAATGAAGTTGCTGGAGATTCTAATTTATCGAATCCTGAGAGTGATGGCTTTCATAGCGCTGAAATCAGCGAAAACCTCGGCCAGAGTACTGTACTCTCCGATGACACTGATATATCCTTTCCATTGCCCGGACCCCGGCCCAGACCTAGTCTCAGGAAAAACCTCGATGAAGATCTCTTGAGGAAATCGTTGATTAAAAATTGTGAACTCAACAGGAATTCCTCTCTGGAGTCCAGCAGACTGTCTCTGGATAATTCTGTATTCTCGGATATTGTTTCAAGCACTTTATTGAACCCTGCAACCCCCAGGGGCAGTAGGTACGACCCACCGATGTGTGCCTCGACTGTTCTTTCCCCTGGATCTAGTTTCGAATTTCCTTCTGGGGAGCATTCACCAAGAGCAATTAAGAAGAATGGAAATTGCTCGATTGATACTACAGAATCGGTCAAGGACGAGTCCCAGGACGGGATGGACGAGGGGGGTTTTGTCGAGGAGATCGTTACCACGACGTCCATCACCACAACAATTCTTCGGGGATTCAGTGTTGATAGGACTGACGTTAATGATAATACCGAGGAGAATTTCCAGGGTGAGAAGAGTTATCATTCTCTGGAGCTTGAGGAGAGGATGGAAGTGACGGAGTCCTCGAGAGTTGGGGCTCAGGGGTCTCCGGAGGAGGAAAATCCAGAGGATGAAGAAGAAGTTGTTCAAAAGGAAATGGAAGAGCAGGAGGAAGAGCAGTTACCATCTGAGGATTACGACGAGGAACTTCTGGCCTTGAAGTACGAGGACGACGATGACAACGACGACGTCTTCAAGAGCCTCTCCAACTCGATGGACGTTCAGGATCAGCCTGAGAATCAGCTCCAGGAGGAGATCCAAGTCCCTGAGGGTGTTAAGAAGACAGCAACAAGTCGTTTTTACGAGGAATTAAATATCACCGATGATGAGTCAAGGAGTGTCGACGAGAGTCTTTTCAAGAGGAAATTGCAAGGGCCACCAGTCGGTAGGGAATCTCTGAATATAACTGACGATGAGAGTGATCCTGAGGGTGAGGATGTGGCTAAATCATTCTCGAATCGTCCAGAAAATCCAGTGAATCCAGAAAATGCACCAGAGGAAATCCCGGAAGAAGATGAGGAAAAAATTCAGGAGAATGTTGTGGAGGAGGAAATTCGAGAAGGTGTCAAAGAGGAAACTCAGGAGGATGTTAAAGAGAAAACTCAGGAAGATGTCAAAGAGAAAATTCAGGAAGAATTTGTGGAGGTGAATGTGACACCTGTAAGGATGACCAGATCAAGAGCATCCTCACTAGCTTCCGAGACTCCAGAGGAACTGAAAACCCCCCGGACACGTCGTGCCACGTCTCTCGTGCAAGATCTACCCTCTCCCAAGACATCAGCATCTTCAGAGTCCCCGACTGCAGGAAAGCGACGAGGAAGACGAGCCACGTCCCTCGTGAAGGAGGTACTAACATCCTCAATGATGGAGGAGGCGCCAGTAAGGAGATCCTCTCGTAGGAAAGAGCCTGAAGCAGTTAAAACCACACATGAGACCATAGAAGAAGCTCCAGAGGAGCCTGAGCCTGTTAAAAAGACAAGAGCAAGACGAGGAGCATCTGCTGCTAAGGACTCGACTCCTGTTAAAGACGTGACCCCCAGGAGGACTCGAGGGGCGTCAGTCGTTAAAGAAGAACCACCGGAGGAGGAGAAAACACTGGAGATGAGGGTGAAACGAACTCGGGGGGGATCCGTGGCTAAAGACCAGGAAGAAGTGCCCAGGAGGACGCGAGCGGTATCAGTAACTGATGAAGAGCCCAAGACGAGAGCAAAACGGGGGAGAACTGTCTCCTCGAGTTCAGAGGTGAACGAGGAAATTCTGGAGAAGAAGGGACGGCCCAGGAGAGGGGCTACTGCATCAGAGGGGAGTGAGGAGACAGAGAAGAGGAGAGTCAGGGCTTCTTCGGAGGTTAATGAGGTCGGAGAAAGACCTAGGAGGACTCGAGCTACTTCTGTGACTTCTGAGGGGACAGAGGAGATTGGGAAGAGGACCACGAGGGCGGCTTCGGTGGTGAAGGATCCTGAGGAGAGTGGAAGGCCGAGAAGGACTAGAACTAATTCAGCATCTTCTGGGGTTGATGAGGAGGAGACCAAGGGGGTGAAAGAGACTTCAGCCCCTCCTCCGAGGAAAACTCGTGGGGGATCTGTCTCGAAGGATCAGGAGACTGATCCTGTGGGAACCAGGAGGACAACTCGAGCTAGTTCTGTTAGTAAAGACGAGGAGGGTGAGGTGTCAATACGATCCACTAGGAGAAGGGCCAAGGAACTCCCCAGTGAGTCCTTGAGGACTAGGAGGGGGGGAAGTATTGTTAAGGAAGTCATACCTGAGGAAAACAGTGATGAGTCGATCTCTGGGCCACCGGGAGGCAGCAGAATTCCCTCGATTCCTGAGGAGGATGTTAAAGAGGGCAGGAGAAGGGGGAGGAGGGCTGTGAGTGTCGATCTCTCTCCGGTTGAGGAGAAGGAGCTGGGGAAGAGGCAGAAGGGGAGAAAGAGGGCTGCGTCTGAGACGAAGGACCTGGTCGAGGAGGTGGTGGAAAGACCCAGGAGGGGCAGAAAGCCCAAGAAGGAGGAGTTCCAGTTCGCTGCACCTGAGGAGGCCAGGGGCCCCATAGAGGCCACCTTCGAAGGTGAGCCATTGACAATTTTGGAGATCCGGTAAAAATTTTGAAAATTCTAGATCGGTCACCTCAGGGCGAGGGGAAAATTTTTATTTTGTTTGTTTTAAAATTTTATTATCATTTCCGAAGTAATCATATGTGAAATCTATTTTTGGCTGATAGAATGGGATTATGAAAAAAAAAAAGTAAATTTCTTCCCTCAATAGACTATAAAAAAAAAATTTTAAATCGTCTTTTAATTTTCACCCTTTTTACTCCTTTCTTCTAATATCATGCCGCTTCATGCATATCTCTCGAACCGATGGTCCAACTAGAATGGATTTTGAGTAAATATCACTTTTTTAATATTAATTATTGTAGTATTAATATGTGTAATGATATATTTCAGGACAAGTACCGGATTTTATATTCTCCCCGCCATTCGCACGGTCCAGGGATGGTCAGGATCGTAGGTATAATGAGGTTTTTACTAGAGTGAATTGTCGAGGATGTGGAATATCTCCACACATGAGCAGCACGCTGTTGTGAAGAGTGAAAACACTTTCTCCTGCATCCTCGATAATTAAAACTGTATCAATTACCCCAGATTCGTGTAACGATATTCTGAATTTGCAGGGAAATAGTGAATTTTATTCCTCCACTGACTGAGGAAGAGAGGAAAATGATACCAGTGAAATCGAGAATGAGAGGAGAGGAGGGCAAACAGGTGAGAATGTCACATGTGCCTGGTTATCGCACCAAATTTGTGGTACCCAAATGGTCCCGAGGTAATTCCAAGTAACTAAATTATTAAAAAAAGCCACGAGTTATGTTAATCCTTCGACAAATCTGTTGGTGCTAAAAAAATTAAAAACCTGATGAACAAAATTTCGTCTATTCCATCTCCACATTCACAAGTGCATTAAATTCCAAGAGACTATTCTCTGCGTTCCGACTGAAAGATTAGCTAGATAAATAATTACGGGTGATTGTTGCAATCAGTCATTATTTTTCTCTGATTGGTGCACACAGCAATTACACCTGCACATAAGACAATTGAAATAATGTACAAAAAGTTTTTTTTTTCTCTTCGTTTTTCCCTCGAATGCTGGATCTCCACGAATTATGATTCTTCCTCATTAGTTAATTATGTCGTTACCGTTTAATTAGTTATTTAGTTTCTCATCTTTCTCATTCTGTTTGAAATGTGAAAAGGTTTTTTTCTCTCGAGTTTCTCGAATTTTTCCATCGTGGAAATAACGAATATTCAGTGTTCATTTTTTTTTTCACTCAAGCATTTCGTTCTCTTCTGGCTGTCCTTTTTTTTCGTTTATCATTCGGAGAAAGTAAAACCTTGTAACATACAGTTGTAAATAATTTATTGATATGCTCATGTATAGGTATGATAATGCAATAAACATATAAAAAAATTTTAATTGTATAACATTTTGTTGGGGAGCCCCTCAATTAATCGATTCAATGTTTAAACGTTATTTATTTTCTAGAAATCTCTATATTAATGTTAATCGTTAGTTCAATTGAGGCCTGATTCATTACGAAATGAACTATTTCATTGTTATAATTAATAACAAAATTCAAAATTCGTCGTTGAATTCAAGGAAAAAGCCCTGAATTCGAGACACGTGAAAAATATCTGATACCGATATCGGCAATTAATTCATTAATCATGAACACGTTTACAATTTGATTTGAATAATTGCATAAATTGTCAATTGATGCAGCTTTGATTAGTCGTTGAAATTTAAGTCACCTCGATTATTGTTTAATACTCGTTACAATCTGGTACAGAGCCAAATATTTAAAGTGTCAGATCTTTGGCAATGTTTTTCCATCGCATTGTCAGTTTTTTTTTTTCGATAAATATTGCAATGTAGATTATAAGAAATAGTATAAAATAGTCTGATTACGCCATTACAAACTAATGGATCGATTACGCAACGTAAAAATACTCAATACTTGATTTTTTTACTGGGATTTTACGACGAAATAAGCATTTAATTTCCCGTGGTAACTACGTACAAAATAAAATTATTCAGATTTCCCCTCAACATGTTCGTTGAAATTACAGATACCGTTGTGTATTCAAGTTGAGCACTCGTATAGCAAACAATGCCTCGTGAAAAGGCACAAAACATTCTGATTATTATCGTCATATTCTTTTCTCCAAGATAACTCCGTTGGGGAGTGCACTATGGCAACAATCTCACGTTGAACTTCGAATTACTTCAATTATGAGAGGGGGAGGGTGATTAATTTCAAGGGAAACGTCTCCGAATTGTTTAAAGAAAATTCACACCTCAATGAATCCTCGATTATCTCGATAGCCATTCGTCTCATAAAAAAACTTTTTCAACATTATTTCGAGGAAATATCATCAGCTATAAAAAAGATAAAATACATTTTCACCTAGAGCCGCTCATTAACGAGATACAATGATAGTTTGTAATTACAGTATTTGAAATTTCTAAACTCCAACCATTGAAAATAAAAAATAGAAGAACCCTCGAGTTCAATTATCTCAACAACGAGTGACTGGAGGAAAAAGTATAATGATACATTTTTTATACAGAATTAATTTCTCGAGAAATTTTTTTCGTGTCATTTCGACCTAGAACCGCCCATTAAAAACTTTGGAGAAAAATGGCTAAAAAATTCGAGAGACGTTTTGTTTCGTGAATTCCCCCAGGGACATACTCCCAATAAAACTCTCTTAACGATTACTCACCGTCCTAAGGCATTCGTGTCATTGGAATGTGAGCTGGAAGTGAATAAGTGAATGGGAGAGGACAACGCCTACACTAATTCCCCCTAAACTACTTGAGATCATTACCCTACTGGTGCTTGCACCCATCCTTAACCCTGCGTTTGTGTTTTTCTTCGTGGGAGAGGGACCTGGACTGGGCCTGCATGCGCCTCTGGCCCTGGATGGGCATGTAACATGGTGCATCCTCCATAAGTTCCTGTGGAGGAGTTGGGAGAACGTAGGAAGGGCTGACAGTGTTGCTGGAGCTGCTGGAGGTGGTGCTGCGATGGCCCCCGTACGTGGGGTCGATTATTGTAGCGACATTTGGGGCCTCTCGGTTGTCCTCGGGATCCTCCAACACTTGTATCTCCTCAGGGTCGGGAAATTGTGGTGGATTCCTCGATTTTCTATCGTAGGAGACCTTCAAGTCCAGCTTGTCAGGTCTCTGGGGCCTCTCCAGCTCGGTTTGACCCTCCAGCTGCTGCTGTTGTTGTTGTTGGCGCTCTAGTTTCTTCTGCCTCGCTCGTTCCCTCGCTCGTCTAGCTTTTGCTCTCTCTTTGTCTTGGAGCATTCGCGCCAGTTCCGCGTCCTGGGCCTCCATCGCCAGCTTCTGGTCCAGGATCAGCTGATCGTCCATCGGGCCGTCATTAGCGTCCACTGATCGCTCCTCCTCTTCCTGGAGCTGTCGTGCTAATTCCTGAGGATCATTTGGGGTTTTAATTGCAGTGGATAAAGGGTTTTTGGGGAGTACGTCGGAAACGACGGGAAATATCGAATTTTTCATAGGGACTTTTCCTTTGGAGCAAATTGAGATCTACAAAAAAGGTTTAATAATGGTTTTGATATTTTCCGTGGGTTAAGAGATATCTAGGAAGAACTGAACTGAAAGTGAAATCATTGTTTATAAGGAAGTCGTTTAAATGACTTGCGGTTTTGGGGCAATTGTTATGGTTTCGTGACATACTTGATCTTTCTCTTCCTGAAGACGTCTCTGCATTTCCAACTCGGCTTCGACCTGTGCTGCTTCGTCATCCAGCCGCAATTGAAGTCTCATTCTCTCTTGCAGTTCTCGTTCTTTCACTCGCTCTTCTCTTTCGAGATTCAGGGCAACTTGTCGAGCTACCATAGCGTCTCGTTCTTCCCTGGATAATCCATGCGAATTAGTCGACATAATATTCAATATCTTTAAGAATTCAAAGAGTTACGAATTATTTAGTTCAGAATGAATGGAAATAAATTGATTGCACGATTACATCCAATCGAATTGACTTAATTTCCTTCACCTTCACCTGCACGTACTGAATTATTCATGAATAATTGCAGGTGAAGGGGCAGTGGAGAAATAGAATATTCTCGGAAATGTATAGCTCATAAAGCCAAAAAAAAATACGAATAAAAATTAATTGTGCGAAACTCACTGCTGCTGAACCAGCGAATGATATCTCAATTCCTCCAGCTGCTGCTCCACTCGTGCCCTTGGCAAATCCTCTCTCACCTGGGCATTACGCACTTTATTCCCTGTGTAATGCTCCTTGACTATTAAACACGACAAGAACATTATCGTCACGATAAATAGTGAGTCACGTAGAATTTACAGAACGTGCCCCAACAATGTGGTAAAACAGAGTAATTGAACGTTGAGTTTTCTTCGTATATCTCGGAATGTAAAAGAGTAAACGGAATTTCCATGGGACATTTTTTGAAGCTCTCATTCAGCTCTACAAAAAAGTTCCCCTAGAGATCTCGCTATCTGCCATCATTTCCGAGATATCTCCCAGGAACAAAAGTCAAAAATGTAAAACTACATCAGTTCCCAGCAAACGGAAGCCCTTAAAATCTCCAATATGTCTCGATTGAATGATCTGATTTCGAAGAGTGGCATCTTGTTTTGAAGCCCAAAAAAAAACCTTCAAAAAAAGTCCATATTTATAAAAATTCACTCGGCCACTCCTCGGAAATTCCCCCAAATTCCCGAAAATTCAAAAGAAAAAGAAACAATAATAAACCACTAACTCTCTTCATCCTGCAATCGATATGCCAGGGCTCCATCCTCATGCACCAGCCACTCTCGACACACTGTAATCACCAGAATAAATTCCTGCTGTAAACCCATGCGTGACAAAGGAATTCCTCAAAGGAGAGCCTTCGGAAATTGAAATTCGTGAGGAAAACGGACCGTCGAAAACCGCATGTATCTCCCAAACCAACAAAGCAATCGTAACCATTTCCGGTTCATTTTAAAGCCCTGAAAAGTCTCTTAAAAATTAAACAAAACTCGCGAAAATCCACTCTGTCAATCCCAAGATATCATCGATTTTACAACAGATCCGTTTTGCCCCTGGTGATGCCCTTACCCTCGTTGACTCTTCCAGCTTTTGGCAAAGAGTCCGAGCTCAGCACTGATTTTGCCATGATTCTGCACTCGATTATTAATTTAATAAATAAACTGGGGTGTTGTTTAGTGCCTTATGGAGTGGAGCTCCATTTTGAAATGTTTATTTCGCCGATTCAGGAGACGCCGTTGGCAGTACTGACCGGGAGAAGGCGCATGCCAGAGACACTACTCAGAAAAAGTTCATTTGTAGTGGAATTCATGTGTATGTGACAGATCTCTTCCTGGTATGTGTTGGCATCCACTTGTCAAAGGTGGGGAGGGCTGTGTTGTAAGTTCACTCGTTGTTTTATTTTGTTGGGAATGTTGAGGACGGTCATTGAGAGGAGTGAGGGACCCTTTCATTCCGTGGCATTTTTTTCAGAGTTCATTTCATTTATTTACCTCACTTTTCTCTATTATTTTTCAGGTTTTATGGCGTATCTCGGAAACCAGCGGAGATAACGCTGTTTTTGTAGGGACTTATTTGTAGATCTTTTTCTGCTCTATAAAAAGTTTTCTATGCACTTTTTAATATTTTTTATAGATTTCGATATATTCAGCGAAGACTGATGGATATATTGAAGGGATATGGATTGAGTTAATTTTTTGGTGATATTATTTTTGGAAATACCCAGGGATCTAGAGGAGATAGCGGAGTTTATGTAGAGACTTTTCTGTGGTTCTTAAAATTCTGCATAAAATATTTCTTCTGACAAATTGTCGTATCTCCCTTCAATTATGAGATACCTCGGAAAAAAAACAGAAAATTGAATGATTTATTCTGTTTCGACAAGTCCTGAAGGATCTTCTTCGCGATGAAGAATATTGATACCATCGGTGAAACGTGCGTTCCACTTTCGATACTGGAGCACATTTTCCGGCTGAATGAACAACGAGCACGTGAGTATTCGGTGGATGAAAGTAGAGAATAGGAAGACGTCTCCATCATCCAAAAGGAGGGGATTTTAATTGTCACGATGATGATGAGCTCGTTAAAACCCCGTTGAACCTTCATTCAATGCTAATGATTAGTTCTTGCAAGGCAGGTGTAATTAGAACCTAGAGAATTCCACCGGATCTCGATAGTTTATTTGAAAAGCCAATTTATCTGTCTCCACTTAATCTTTGTTACATCCAATTCACTGTATTTTTAGTTCTCTTAATTTTCATCCACATCTGCGATAGTCCAGGTGCAGGATAATTTTTGGGTCAATGCCTCTGCGCTGCGCCAGGTCGTCGATGAACTTTTGGTAACTTTCTACGTCCAGAACTCTTCCTCTGGAAATCAATGATTTACAGAGCACTTTCTATTTTTTTTAATCGGTAATTGAACGATTTCGAATGAATTCCATATATTTGGAAGTAATTATTACAATTTCAAGTAATTCTTTTTCAAATTTGCATTAACATTCTAATATTATACGGAAAGTAATTTTGTTTTAAATTATTTCAGTGAAATTTGATGAGACTTTATCATTTTTCTGATAGTAAATTGATCATTTCGAATTCAAAATAAAATAAAAATAAATTACCTTCCAATTTTTCGTTTTATTCTACAACACACGTCGGTTAACACTCTTTCGTCTTCAATAATCCCTTGACTTCTAGCTCTATACGATTATACATAAATATTTCTATAATTATCCCTGTATTGGTTCGATTAATTGTTAATTTATTAATAACAATACTAAATAAAAAAGTCAAATGCATCAAAGGACAAGAGTTCAATTCGACGTTCAGTTTCTGGTAAATATCTGCGAATCTGTAGGACATACAAAAATTTTCACTGAATCTTTTGTGTAGCCCTGAATCTGCCCTACAAATAATTCCCAATAAACTTTTCCATATTTCCTTTCAGTGCGGAGATATCGGGGAGAATCGAGTGGATTGTCGAGCCACTCATTTTTTAACTGTCTGATCGATAAATCAATTGATTAAAAATCGCTGTCGTTATCAAGGTCCAGCATAGTCATGATCATTCTCCCTAGATTATCAATGTCCTTCCTGTCAATCTTCACAAGCTCCTCGAATTTCCGGAGGACCCCGGCAATCGTTCCCTCTTTAATATGAAGAATTTCCATGGAACAACGAATTACAGCAGCACTGATGAAGAGAATATCTGACTCCATCGCCATAAAATTGAGTTTATCCTCTTTTGTTTTGGCGAGGGAACCGTGAGAGACTAGCTGCAGCTGTGAGAATAACTGCTGATGCTGGAATCGATGAAAAATGGAAACAAACATGCAATCCAATTAATCATTCATTGACAATAACATTCTTTCAATTTTACCTCTCATTGTAATTATCGATCTATCTCGAAAACTTCTGATTTTACATGAAAACGCTACAGGACTTTTTTGTGGTCGATCAAATTTTCGACAATTAAGGTTTTTTGATATTTTTTTCTGGAGTCCATGGTTTTCGAGATAAAGCGATATTAAACGAAATTGGAAAAATCCAATTGTCTCATTTTGCCAGTTGGCAACTGAATTACGCTTTTGTCATGCTTTGTTCACCTGGAGATACGTCATATCGAGAACGTGGATAGTTGTATCGTACAATTTGTTGATTTTATCGAGCCTAGATGCTGTCAGCAGCACCTCGATGCAGTCCAGAGGGGTGATAAGAGGTATTTTGAAATTGATTGTGGTGAATACTTTAATTTCCGACAGCATGACAGCGAATCGTGTGAACTGATGGTTAGGCTCTAGCCTACCCAGAGCAGAGAGTACCTGACACAAAAAATTATCATATAAATTATAATACTTATGTCGAAAAAATTCTGAAAATATATTATTCTGACGTTTTGAAATCGAGATTAACACCTGAGTAATCCCCAGTGCCAGTAAATGAGAGTCCATTTTGCTGGCCAGCTGAATACAACTCATGAGCCTGAGCATCAGCACCCTGGAGACCCTGTCGCAGGCGTGTTTGAAATCCTCTGATCCCGGATGGTTCTCGTGCTCCTTATAAATTCCCCAGAACTCATTGCACAAGAATTTCTCGTAAATATACAGCGCCAGGTACTTCGTTCTGGGTCCAAGGGCAAAAGAGTCGACGATGATGAAGACCTTCTCCACGACAGTCGTGGGAATCGCTGCAGAAACGACAACAAAAGCAGCTCGTAATCCCCGAATAAATCCAAAATCCGAGAATAAAATTGAAATCCCAACAGGTAAAACTGATTTATCCAACCCATAATTTATTGAGGTATACCTCCAAATCCAGAAGAGCTAGCGAAATTTTTGTGAGAACCTTTTTCGTCGAGGTGATTCCGCTCTTGAAAAAAGGTCCTGAAAAAAAAATCGCTATCTCTCTTCCCTTACAGGATATCGCATCCAAGGTCTCGCAAAATTCGAAGGAGTCGCTTTGTGGAGTTGTCCCTCGATATTTTGGGAATACGAACCTATGAAAGGTATGAAGAATTCTCTCCCAGTCCTGATGACCTCTTCCTGCTCACTGTTTACCTCTTGGATGTACTTCAGCCACTCCGAAATAAGGGGTTCTATCCTCCGTTTAATTTACATCAATCAGACAAATCCATGAATTTTTATTTTATCGAATAGCAAAAGAATTAATCAATAATTTTTATTACACACCTGTGAGTGTCATGTTTGTACTCATGTTGACTTCTTTCATTAATCTCTGAAATGATGGATTTGAAAATTGCCAATTCGGTTAATTACGTCGGTTTGCCACGTGTTTTCAAGTGGTGGCGCCACAATATTTCCGTTCTTTTCAACAAAAGGGGGTGGAAACACCGGCCGGCATTTTCCATCTCACAATTAGCGAGTGAATTGTAAGGAATAAACGTAAATAATTACTAGTAAAATTTATTAACCCGATTTTCATTTGTTTTTGAGAAAATCGCAACGTCCGAGCCACTGCGCATGTCATGGCGCCATTCCACACATTATTAGTGCGACGCCGACTTCAAATCTTGATAACCGTATTACGCAGTAACTGTGTTAGAAGTTTTTTGTTTTGTTTTTCGAGTCGAAGGTGAGTTTTACGAACCCACGCATCATAACACATAATAATGCAACAGTTTCGTATAGTATTTCGTGTGGATGCATCACGAGGACAGAATCACGAGATTGTAACCTCATTTTGCCTGATCGAATAGCATAAAAGCTTTTTCTCAATTTTTTTTTGGAAATACGACGTGTAAATGGAGGGAAATCAGTGCGGAAGGTCCATGTCTCAATTATTGGTGGAGGTATCGAAGATTTTGTTTTGTTTTCACTTGAAAACGTTTATTTTTCAAATTGAATAGAGATTTTATGGGGAACAGAATAATTCAAATCCATTCGTCGGACATTTTTCCACATTTTCGAGGCAAATATAATTTTTGGGGGATCCTTCCATTTTGCTACTGAAAATCCAAAAGAAGTCGTAAATGGCGGTTTGGAATTGTTCCTTAGAGTTTTTCTTTTGTTCTTCTTCGAAGTTTGAAGTAGATAAGGTTAAAGTCAATTAAATTGAGTCAAGTTAGTAAAGTTAAATAGTACGTAAAATGAGGGAAGCTCGGGATAGTTACTAATGAAAACATATTTTTAATTTTGCTTATCTCATCAATTCAAGAGTGAAATACAGATGAAAAAAGAATTATTGGTTCCAAAAAATCGATTTTTTGAGAATATCTTGGAATCCACATGAGATACAGAATTTTTTGTCCAAGTCTTTTCCGTAGGGTAGGATTAGATCTAGGAAATGTTCCTTTGCTATTTTTCCATATCTATCATAGCTTCGAAGATATTCATCAGGCAAAATTCTTACAGTCAATTATTTTTCAAATTTTCCGCTATATCTCACTTTTCGACTATATCTCGTACAAATAATTGGTGGATTGGCCTCACAAGACAAAATAATTTAAGTGATAAATAATCGATAACAGTCGATTGGAACAATTTGACGGTGAAAAATCGGAATTTGGTGGAAAAATGGGAAAATCGGTTGAGTGGTGGTTGTGGACATTGTGTTTTTGGAAAAAAAAGTGAATTAGTGCAGTGAATGTTGAAAATTGGATTGTTAATTATTTATCAATGGTAAATTTCGTGGTAAAATATCGTGTGGTGTGTGACCGATGGAGAATGGAAGAAGTCAGGTGCCGCCTCCTGGGGAATTCTGGATAACCGTAAGTTTTAATTGAATTTAATTATTATCTCGATGTTCTTTCAACAATTACCCAATTTTCGTGGTTGTCAGAAAAAGACAAACGATTTGCTGAATTTCCTCAGAGATTTTGAATTTTTATCTTTTATTTCATCAAAAAATTCCGTTGTTGTCGATGAATGTTGCGGCAGTCAGTGCGAGAGATGGCGGCTGTTGTCTGCTATGTAGAAATTATTTTTTATTTATTTACTTTTTAAATTTATTTTTAAAATCGCTTTAAGTGTCTGCAATAAAGAAACTAATTTTTTTTCTAACATAATTACTAACCAGCAGAAAATTTATTGGACATTAGCATGTTTTATAGACGGAGAATATAGTTTATTGATGAATTCTATTTTTTAATTTGCTTTTATTATTATTCTATTGTATATATATATTTTTTTTATTTCGTTGATGCTACTTTACAATTTTACATCGATACAAGCGTAAATATCTCAAGTACTTGTTACATAAGTCTTTGATTTGGTGTCACCAGGGATAAGAACCTTGTGGAATTATTTCCGAGTTCTTTGTTGTCGAATATCATGACACAATGATTACCAATTTTATGTGATTTCAAATGATTTCCGATAGTTTTAATTGAGATAGTGACCGCGATTTTCCCAATTAATAGCCCCTCGATATAGATGGACGAGTCAGAAGTACATATTTGGTAAATAATTTTTTTTTCAGGGTGATGATAGCCACAGGAGCTTTGGAGATCCTGAGAGGTCCGAGTTCTCCGGAGTGCGGCGGTCACTGGGTCAATTGCAGCTCTCGGTGAGTCCTGATTTTAACATCTAATTTTAATTTTCTCCCCGCGATTTCCAAAATGACTTGCCCCCTTACAACTCACTCGGTATTCTGTCGGCGGTGGGTCGTCCAGTTTTCGTGGTCAGGAAAAACTACCCCAGAAGGTCCCGTCCTCTCCCATAAGTTTTCCCAGGTGCTTTTTTTTTTTAAATTAATTTTTCTAGAACTCGGGGATAATCCGATTATCCAGCCTTATCAGGGGCTTCCGGATGAGGAAGTTTTGTCCTGCCATCCAACAGACTCCACATTTATTCGGTGTACTCCAGGTGTCATTATCCCCTGATCCCCGAATTTTCTGAATTTCGGGATTTTTTGATTTTGTGAATTGCCCCGGTGGATGATTTTTTTTTGGGAAGAGGGAATTTATCGTGGCGTTGTATTGACCTTTTGCGAATGGATGGGGAATAATCAGTGAATTTTCAGTGAACCCTTTATGTAATGGGATCAATGCAGGTTGATTTCTAAAGAGACAATACTTACCAGTCCTGATAGTCGGGTTTAAGGGGAAAAGCTGGCGTCTAATCCGGCCATACAGCGAAAATTACATCTTGGTAGACCACCTGGTATTACCGAAGCTTCTCATCTTACCAATAGCCTTCTCCTCGACTTTTACCACTTAATTATCTAGCACTTTTTGAGCTTCATCTTCTGTCTATGTGGCACCTTATTATCTCGGAGAAAATCGAAGGGTTTAGGGCGGTGGGGTATGTGGAAGTGGCCAATTGCCTTTGGAATTTTATTGTCTTTCTCGATATTTCTTATCATTTCGTACGGAACAAATTGGCCAATTTAATTTCATTAGAATAATGGGTAAACACGCTATTTTATTTATTCCAATTATTATCGAACTAGTGCTCATTCATTTCAATTCTGGCGATTTTAATTGTCAGTTGATGTGAAACATGAAATAGAAATGTGATATTAAATGGGGGGGAGTAGGAATAGGGGATGCTGGGGGCATGTGGGCACAATTAAAAATTATTTTATTCTCAACTTTAAATATTATTCCATGTTTAAATAAAGATAAACAGATGAATTAAATATTCAGCAATTTGTCGATTGATAGACTTTTGAGGGGATATTTTCCAAAATTAAAAAAACAAATAATGCAAAAAAATGGGTGACAATAAGGTATGAGCTTAAAATTTTTATTGGCTACTACATGTTTTTGTATTAAATTTATGACGTCGGTAAACAATTTTGGAATGATCTTTTTTTTTCGAATCCGTCAATTTGATTTCGAATCTCATGATGATTAAATGATATTCATTCTGTTATTCTGAGATCTGAGACTCTTTGAATGAGATTTAAATTTAATATGTGACAAAATGATTTGAGCGACATTTTTTATATTTTTAATAACGAAGAATGTTTAAAGTGAGAATAAAATATTCATAAGTATTGGAAAATTTTTATGTAAAACTTGATAGTCGAACATTTCTAGTTTGAAGCCATTCATTTTGGGTTACTCGCTCCCAACTCTCATCGTTTATACTTGGAAAATGTGGGAGATGAAATATAAATACGATTTTCGCGTTCTCGTTGAGGCTGAAAGTGACTATACAGAGTGAAGAGGGAGACAGGCTAGGTAGTCACGAAGACTTCGTTTCCGCCGGAAACATAATGGCGCCCATCACTGGTTTTTTACCCCAAGTTTCATTCTGTTATTACAGATGGAAATTATAGAACAATTCAATTAGATACGTTTTTATTCCGAGGGTGGTGAGGTGATTCGGGAGTTTTGGGCAATTATTTTTTACGATTTTGCGAGATGCGGATAAAAGTTGGTTTTTAAAAATTGTACAATTCCACCTCAACGGAATAAAAAATCGAATCACGTCTAGTAAAAATTCCTGAATTTCCACTGAGCTGCACGAAAACTATTTGCCATCGAAATTTTCTGTCTAAAATTCTCTAAACTCTCCAAATAATTCTGGAAATCACCAAATTTTGGATAATGAAAAAGCTTTTATAGACGAAATACTCAATTAATTACTATTGCTGTATTAATTTTCTTTTATTGGTGAGAACCAATTGATTTTTCTCCTTTATTATTAATTTGCAGAGGATTTAGCGTTCTAGTGGAATTATTTTACAGTAGTGAGCGATTTTTAATAATTTTACGAAAAATAAATGAATATTCTGTGATAAGGGGTGGAAGAGTCTAGTTCAATCGAGTCGAAAAAAAATGTCATCCCAAGCTGTCACGACGTTGTATTATTTAGAGCGGTTTACTGGGCCTTCTAGGATATCGGGAACGGTGGGAGGCCATCCATTATCCTTGGCTTCGATAAATCCGCGAAGCTGGTACACGGATCCCTGCTGTGTTTGGCGGATATATCAAGGATCCTCTTGGTCGTCCTAGACGTCTATTTCTGCTTCTAGCTTTAACCACCACTAGGATCACACGCTTTTCACAAAAGCCATTCTTGTCCACTATATTTTCTTACCAGAGCTTTTTCGTGGACAGCAACTTCACGCATTCATAGAATAGTTGGGTTTTATCAGCTGGACGTATTCCATTCGTATTTTCAAAATGGACATTCAGTTATAAATGCAACAAATTTTATTCACATCTTCCATTTTTTTTAAATAATCAGTGGAATTGATGTAAATAATATAACCAACGCCGCCGATCATTCTCACGAATTTTCTCTACAGTTCTGGAATTCCATTTAAACCTTCATAAAAACCATAGAAAAATATTCGCTACCTCAATGCCATAGTAAATTTGTCATA